CTTTTATTTTTGTTTTAGAATTTCCAAAGTTTAACAAAGGTTCATACAATATCTATTAGTATTGCCATATTTGTAGTTTGCCATCAGCTCAATGCATGCTTCAGTTGGTTTATTGTTGATGAAAAGGTTTTCTCTGCTTTCAACTTTTTGTCATAACTAAAATACATTCGTAGAATTTCAATTTCTCGAACTTGACTAAATTTGCTTAATGTTCCAAACCTCACCAGGTCTTTACATATTTCAACCGTAAATAGCTCGGCTCTTTTAAAGTCTAAGTCATTGCATTTTTCCAGTACTTTTATTGATTTAAATATATAGTTTCTATCCTGAACAAGGAGCGTCATATCGCCTGCATATATGTTAAGTTTAATTTCTTTGTTTCCAAGTTGGCTTCCATTTATCGATACGCCATCAATTGTGTTTTAATGGGCTTGAAAATCGATCGCAATATTAAAAAGAATCGGTGATAATGCGTCACCTTGTTTAATTCCCTTTTCTAACTTACATGTTTTTCCACAGAATTCAAACTTCAGCATTAAAGTAGTTATACCGGGTGTCCCAAAAATTAGACACTTTTTGACAAGGCTATGACTATAAGGACTATCAATCTGATGGTCATGAAATATAGGAGGCTATTAAGAAATCAAATGATTTAATGTGTAATATATTTGGGAATTATTTTCAAAAATGACAACGATATAAGGAAAATGTTGTAAGGGTCTTCGTTTTTACGACCCTGTACATCTCAAAGAGTTTATAAAGTAGTTTAATATCTTCCCAAATCTTAGAATAGAATTCCCGAGTTCTAATTGAACATTTTTAGGAGTTTAACTATTTTTTGGATCCCACATCATTTGAGACTGAATGCTCTATCTTGTATGAGTACGTGTATCTACAACTATTTTTGAGGTTATGAGTATTGGCTATCAATTGGCTATCAATTTCTAATTTCTTCTTCAACATGTATTGTAATGACTTAAGTATGAATGAAATGTCCCTTGGTCTTCTGGTCTTGGATTGTGATATTGGTTGTTGAATGGTGGGGGAAAGGGGGTATAAGACATTGTTTCTTTTCACATTAGATCATGGTTTTGGGCTATATGGGGTTTGTTTTTCTTGACTGGTATGCACTTAGAGTTTGCTTTTTCTTGTTAAGTTCCACTACAACTTTTGGTCCTTTCCCTTTGGCACAAGTGCTTATATATTGGATGTCGTGTACCATGCTGTGAAGACTATTGCATAGTATGTAAGGTGTTGCATTAATTTCATGTTTGAATTTGGTCTTAAATTGCTAGAACCGACCTCAACCTGTCAGAACTGAGTATATCTACTAGCTTGCAATTATGGACTAGATAAATCAAATTGTATTTCCTTCAGTCTCAACCAATCTTCAAAACTGTGAAGAAACCTGGAAAGAAAAGAAAACTCGCGTGAGCCTGTCCTGAGAAAAATAGACTCTACACATTCCTAAACCATGATCAAACGTGAAAAGAAATAATATCCATCCCCAACCCTCAAATCGTGAACCAATATCACAATCGAGGAATGTTCATTCGTCAAATAGAAGCATGTTCCTCGTGGTAAAGTATGAATTTGAGTTGTGTTATTTCGCAACACTCAATATTTAAAAAATGGTCAGATGGAAAATTGCAAGATAACTGACGGTAGGCACGAATTTGACAAAATTGCGACTGGACATGTTAGGTAGACATTAATTGAGCCATAGACTCGGTCAACGGTTGGAGAGGATTTAACTAGATCTATTCAACACTATATATTTCCACTATACTGTAGTTTCGCAAGCGTTACCTTGGATGACAATATTATTGATGTTTTATATTGATATTTCTGCTAATAGGATTCTGTTTATATTTATTATACAAATTAAAAAAAAGACAGGTTTTGGAGACATGATCATTTCATAAAAATACTTTTGGGGTTTGACTAGTTGTGTCCTACATTTAATCCAAACGTCTGAATATAAGAGAGCGAAAGAGATAACAGGCATTTGTTCATGAGTTTAGTACTATAATAACAGTTGATTAGTCTGATGATAGTTCAGGTTTTCTATAAAAAGTAGTATCAATTAACACAAATAGAGCCCCACACACCCACATACATAAAGACATTAAATTTACCCGTCTTCTCCTTTGTTCTAGATTATCCTATGTTGGTACGCCTAATGTAGTAAGGATCGTATTCTTCAACCTCCCTTTTGATGTTGGACCATGACTTTTATAGCTGCTTGCATTGAATCAATTGGACATATTAGTTGATTGCTCTTATTAGAACGTCTCTGATGATTTTTTTCTCAACATAGCATGTGGTAAACGATTCTCCGAGTGTCTGTTTCGATTAACTATTTTTAGCCAATGTCTTCAAAGAGTACCATTCATTCTAATACATGCCTGAAAGATAAATACGCATATCGACCTTATTTATTTTGTTTGAATTATTTTGAAATTTTGAAATTTATTATCAAAAATACTCAGGGGGGGGAGGGTTCCCAAAGATGACCTTTGGTATTGGCATGTTCGATAACCAATTTTATAAACAGGTCTCATTTGCCATTAAAATGGCAAAGTTTGATGTTGTTTTAAGAGTATTCTTTTCTAGTTCGGACCGAGTAAATCCAATAGTACTACCGTCGTTTTGAAATCATGATGTTGAACTTATGTGAAACTGAAATAAACACCATTTCAACGATTTGATTTTGCGCATATGCGGCACTGAGAAAGCACGTGCTCATGATTGTTTAAGTGTTCGCATCTAACAATTTGATTGGACATCATGTAATGACCAGAGGGCGTCCCAGGGGAATGACTAACTAATGACTATAACGAGCATAGTTGCTACTACAGCTGGGCCGTAGTAGCAACTTACAATCGGGTCGTTAAAAGTGTGCTAAATTCAATGCCCCGAATGGTAATCGAACCTAGGACCCTTGGATCCGAAGTCTGATGCTCTACCGACTGAGTTATAAAGGCTTAAGCCCCTACAGCTGGGCCGTAGTAGCAACTTACTATCAAGGGTCGTTACAATCACATAATGGTGAAACCCGAATACGGTAGGATATGAAAAGAGCGATTCAATTCTTTTGACAAATACTGATATGAACAAGGTTTGTAATGATTTAAAATGGCATATTCACGATTTATGACTGATGTCTCATTCGATGGGAGTTGCGCCGGGATCCAAAAGACCCTGTGACTTAACAATCATATTATGAAGGGTCACATGTCACCGGTGCTTGAATTCGCGGCTTGATTCTAAAACAGAGAATGTAAAGATAAAGCGCATGTGCAGCAGATTACCCCCGTAACCCCTTGGTGAAAACAAGTCACTGTCCTTCCACTTGTTTTGGATTAGGTTCGTGTCAGCTACGTACGTCACCTCACAAAAATCTGTTACTAAGCTAGTGCTAATCTGTTTTGTTTATACTTGAACAATTAACTATTTAAATATGAACATTCTGGCGAAGAAGCTATCGGCCCGAAGCTCTGAAGTCACTCGTAACGCATAAGTGCTCCGACACACTTGGAAGGGACGATATTGTCAAAAGTTACAACTAAGTTGTGCTAATCATAAGGTAAGAAAAAAAATTGTTTTAGGTTAAACGGAAATAATAGGTAAATTAGAACCCATCAAGTAGGATAACAGTGATAAAAAGAGTTTAAACGTTAACACTGAACTATAAAGAATGGTCGGACGATTTTGTGTTGATATTACACTAGAAAATATGTTAAAGAGGGGCATGGGGTATAAATAGGAGGCAGACTAATGGAACAGCCAAAATAACTGGATTTGTTATATTACCATAAAGCTGGTCAATGTTCTGAAATTTCATATCGATTGAGAAAATGTTAATTGCTCCAGATTTTGTTATGTGTATCTTTCAATGTTTTGATGTTCATATTCTGTAATTTTAACTTCATCATTTTGTTGGTTTGTACTAAGACATTTAAAAACAGAAATAACATTTTTTTAATTTAAAAGTCCTCTAGCTTAGCCAATCAAAATCAAGAATTAAGCAATGTTGTTAATTAAACTTACTAATCCTGACTTTCAGTGCCATGTTAAAGTGTGGCCGTAACCCGATATTTTAATGGGAGTTGCTTGCAACTTTAAAAACGGCCTTTACCGAGGCAATAAACTGAGAAACTTAAAGAAAGAAAAAAATAAAGTTATTTCAAGAGCAGATAATGATAAGCACATTTTTAATTAAACTGAATGTTCTTAAACTTTTCCTTATTGCATTGTATATATTTCTATCTAATACAGGTTCTTATCTCTTTTTGAATTCTTATTTGTATTGATTTAATAAGTGCGTTTTACCCTTTAGTGCCTTTTCTAGTCAGCCGGTCAGTGACATTGGCTAGATCCGTCTATGTGGATAAAACATAATTGATGTACTGAAACATAATCATACCCAACAAACTGTCTTAAAAAATAATTGTACTTCACAGATAAAACAGATAAAACATGAAGCTGTTCATGGTAGTGTTAATTTTGGTCCTGATTGATGCTTGCATCTGTGTGCACTCTAGCGGACACAGTGGCAGCGGGAGACAAAGAGGTCACATGAGTCATAGTAGTAGCAGTCGTAGTAGAAGTAGTGACGAAGGTAAGATATTATGATTTTGGATGCTTGCATCTGTGTGCACTCTAGCGGACACAGTGGCAAGGGGAGACAGAGAGGCCACATGCGTCATAGTAGTAGCAGTCGTAGTAGAAGTAGTGACGAAGGTAAGATATTATGATTTTGGATGCTTGCATCTGTGGGCGCTCTAGCGGACACAGTGGCAGCGGGAGACAAAGAGGTCACATGAGTCATAGTAGTAGCAGTCGTAGTAGAAGTAGTGACGAAGGTAAGATATTATGATTTTGGATGCTTGCATCTGTGTGCACTCTAGCGGACACAGTTGCAAGGGGAGACAGAGAGGCCACATGCGTCATAGTAGTAGCAGTCGTAGTAGAAGTAGTGACGAAGGTAAGATATTATGATTTTGGATGCTTGCATCTGTGGGCGCTCTAGCGGACACAGTGGCAGAGGGAGACAGAGAGGCTGCATGCGTCATAGTAGTAGCAGTCGTAGTAGAAGTAGTGACGAAGGTAAGATATTGTGATTTTGGATGCTTGCATCTGTGGGCGCTCTAGCGGGCACAGTGGCTGCGGGGGACATGGGGCCCACATGAGTCATAGTAGTAGCAGTCGTAATTGTAAGATATTATGCTTTTACCTAGTTATTTTACCTAATTATGAACATGAATGATCGAGGACCTTATATAACTTATATTGTCACATTTTATAGAGGTGGAATGCGAACCACTGGAGGCACCAGGGAATGGCTCCTTGCAATTGATAAATGGTGAAAGCTCCATCGGTACCGTCGCTATTTATTCCTGCGAAGAAGGGTATGTATTAAATGGAAACGCGACAAGAGTGTGCCTACCATTAGACAGTCAACGTAAAGTTATTGGAGCAGAGTGGAGTGATGATGAACCCACTTGTAATCGTAAGTTTTCCTACTGAAAAAATTAAGATAATTATTATATACTAAAAAGATACTAAGTAATTGACTTTAGTAAGGCCTTCGTGAATAAATAAGTTATAGCATTTATGATGTCAGAAAATCCAACATGATGTATGATGATTGTACATGCTCCTTGAAAGAAAGTGTTAGTTACATGAGGCCCATGAATAAGTGATATAAAAGCATTAAAATGGTGCATCCATGCAGTGTTGATTTAGAACCTGGACTTAGTGTAATGTAGAATGACCATTTCTTGATGTTACTTTCCGAAATTTGCAAGGATCAAGTTGGCAAAGCATCAGTTTCAATCTGTAGAGTCAAGTGGTCGCCTAGACAACCACACAATGAATGACCTTGTATGCGATGATTGGTTATATAATGCACTACACTGTAGTTATATGAAATACTGTGATCGGATTAGCTTGAACTGGACACACCTTGCCTAACTATGTGTGAATTATATATATCAAATTGTATTAAAAAATTGCTCGGTATTTACATACAGCTGTAGATTGCGGTATTCCTACAAGAACAAGTGATTTCCTTAATATTACATACACTACCACAACATTTGGTTCAAACGCTACCTTCAGTTGCCCTGCATGTGGAAGAAGATTACTCGAAGGGGACCCTATCACATGTCTGCCAAGTGGAGAATGGAGTTGTAGTGCAGCAAGGTGCGGTGGAATTGGAGGTAATTCATAGCCTATAAAGAACTATATCATCAATTTATGAAAAAATGTCATCGAAATATATACAGAGATATAGAGACAATACGTTAGTTGTTATTTAGCTGATCTCTCATAAAATGTGAAGTGCTCTCTACTCTCAGATGAAGATCTTTATGTTTCACTCACTTAGTTTCAATTTTGCATGTGACTAAAAAGTACCTATGGTCGTAATATTATCATTTGTTTGTTCGACGGTCAAATAAAGATATTGTTATGTCATTGTAATATATTAGCTTTCTTCTAGATTAAACCACACTTAGGTAGGAACAAATAGAATGAACTTTGATTTATTTTGAAGAATATCCAGCTATAACAAAGAAGAGGGCATCATTTTTCTATTGTTTTTTATGAATGTACACTTGGCATTAGCTATCCAAAACCAGTATAGCACAAAAGATGATTGACTGGCTAATGCAGAGCACTAAAGCTTAACTAAATATATACCATATTTACCCTTTGAATAGTTAAATATTAAACACAAAAGAAAACAAACTTAAAACTAAACATGCCCTCATGTTAAATACAGTGCACTAAAGCTGAACTAATTATACCCACTCACTTGTTAATACTCTTAGCTCATATAGTCAAAAAGAAATGATTTTTTTCATAAAATTCGATCAGGGACCACTTAACTGTGATAATAGTCAGTGTCCATTGAGTGGTAAAAGTTAGATTAACAATCCGTTTTTGGGTCTTAGGAAAAATAATGGCTTCTGGGCTTCGCCCCTTGGCCATTATTTTTACTAATCCTCAAGACTCATTGTTTATTCATTACTTAATTGCTAACCCTCTGTGAAAAAAGGTGCATGGTCCTTTATCAGTCATATTTTTTTAGTCTTCTGTATTATCATGCTTAACAATCAAATGTACAATCTATGTATACTTTGGCCAAATGGAGGAAATTTCAAAGAATTTCGCAAATACGGTAAAAAATTAGAACGGATTGAATAGAACAACTCACAAAATCGTGAGTGTGACTTTTTACCTTAAATTGATGTCATAATTATGAGAAATTCAATATCCAGCAATTCTTTCAATAAGGACATCTTGTGAGACACAAAACTTAGTTTAGAGCAACGCACCATTTTAGAAAGTTTTCAATCCAGTAAAACTTTGTAAAAAATCAGTCAATAGAATGACATTTTGATTAATAACAACCACTTTGTAATAGAATTTGAGGTAATATCCTTCAAATTCAGAAGTTCCTCCTCGGTTCAAAATTAGGGGTACAGGTAACATACATGTATATTACAATCAACTTGAAATTGTAAGGTAATTTTAACCCCTAGCCTTCACAATCACCCATAGATATGCTATATATCTTAAACTTAGCATATTCATACCAGACTTTATGTCAGATGTGAATAATAAATGTGTTTAATAAGCAAATTGGTTACATTTTACCGTTAATTTTACTATTATTTAGGGGTAAAATCGTCTGAAAATCGTGTTTTGGACGGATTTTGGCACTGCCATATTTTTTGTCAGTGTGTTAATGTTTCTTTCAAACCTGTCAGTTATAAACAGTTTGACTCAGGCTTTACAATGGTATGAAGCATACATATAGAAAATATGGAGAATGGAGTTGTAGTGCAGCAAGGTGCGGTGGAATTGGAGGTAATTCATAGCCTATAAAGAACTATATCATCAATTTATGAAAAAATGTCATCGAAATATATACATATAGAGACAATACGTTAGTTGTTATTTAGCTGATCTCTCATAAAATCTGAAGTGCTCTCTACTCTCAGATGAAGATCTTTATGTTTCACTCACTTAGTTTCAATTTTGCATGTGACTTAAAAGTACCTATGGTCGTAATATTATCATTTGTTTGTTCGACGGTCAAATAAAGATATTGTTATGTCATTGATATATATTAACTTTCTTCTAGATTAAACCACACTTAGGTAGGAACAAATAGAATGAACTTTGATTTATTTTGAAGAATATCCAGTTATAACAAAGAAGAGGGCATTATTTTTCTATTGTTTTTTATGAATGTACACTTGGCATTAGCTATCCAAAACCAGTATAGCACAAAAGATGATTGACTGGCTAATGCAGAGCACTAAAGCTTAACTAAATATATACCATATTTACCCTTTGAATAGTTAAATATTAAACACAAAAGAAAACAAACTTAAAACTAAACATGCCCTCATGTTAAATACAGTACACTAAAGTACAACTAATTATACCCACTCACTTGTTAATACACTTAGCTCATATAGTCAAAAAGAAATGATTTTTTTATAAAATTCGATCAGGGACCACTTAACTGTGATAATAGTCAGTGTCCACTGAGTGGTAAAAGTTAGATTAACAATCCGTTTTGGGTCTTAGGAAAAATAATGGCTTCTGGGCTTTGCCCCTTGGCCATTATTTTTACTAATCCTCAATACTCATTGTTTATTCATTACTTAATTGCTCACCCTCTGTGAAAAAAGGTGCATGGTCCTTTATCAGTCATATTTTTTTAGTCTTCTGTATTATCATGCTTAACAATCAGATGTACAATCTATGCATACTTTGGCCAAATGGAGGAAATTTCAAAGAATTTCGTAAATACGGTAAAAAATTAGAACGGATTGAATAGAACAACTCACAAAATCGTGAGTGTGACTTTTTACCTTAAATTGATGTCATAATTATGAGAAATTCAATATCCAGCAATTTTTTCAATAAGGACATCTTGTGAGACACAAAACTTAGTTTAGAGCAATGCACCATTTTAGAAAGTTTTCAATCCAGTAAAACTTTGTAAAAAATCAGTCAATAGAATGACATTTTGATTAATAACAACCACTTTGTAATAGAATTTGAGGTAATATCCTTCAAATTCAGAAGTTCCTCCTCGGTTCAAAATTAGGGGTACAGGTAACATACATGTATATTACAATCAACTTGATATTGTAAGATAATTTTAACCCCTAGCCTTCACAATCACCCATAGATATGCTATATATCTTAAACTTAGCATATTCATACCAGACTTTATGTCAGATGTGAATAATAAATGTGTTTAATAAGCAAATTGGTTACATTTTACCGTTAATTTTACTATTATTTAGGGGTAAAATCGTCTGAAAATCGTGTTTTGGACGGATTTTGGCACTGCCATATTTTTTGTCAGTGTGTTAATGTTTCTTTCAAACCTGTCAGTTATAAACAGTTTGACTCAGGCTTTACAATGGTATGAAGCATACATATAGAAAATGATGTCCCAGTCACAGAAGAAATGTAAACACTGTATAATTGCAAATTGTAATTTATGACGTAATTTAAGGAAAAAGCCACAGTGATTTTGTGAGACAATGTTTTTGATCATTTCTTACTTTTTCAATTTTCTTTTAGTTTTTTAAGATTTTCACCAGTTTTTCACAATATGTATACGATATACCTCTATGAGTTTAGTATGATTATACAAAAGACTAAAAATGTTATGATTGATAAAGGACCATTCACCTTTTTTCTTTACAGAGGGTATTCATATTTAGATACATTAGCATACCTTACAACGATGAACACAGATTGAACACAATATGTATTATCAAACATTTTCTTCGTATACTGCTTGTACTGTCATATTAATTGGTCAACTTTTAATGTTATAGTGGAATGGAAGCCGTCCCTAGGCAGAACTTGCACCAGCTTGGATGTAGGCGGCCAAACATGGCTAGTGACGGGGATTGAAAGCCTTGTTGATTGTCAACGTGTTTGTGTTGTGTATGACGGGTTTGAATGCAAATCTATCGAGTGGGGTAGAAACAATACAGCAGGGGGGAATCTTGGCGTAGCGTTGGATTGTGTATTGCAGGACTTTCTCATGTCAGATCAAGGTGTTATGACAGACAGTAATTGTATAGCTAGGGTCTACCGAGAAATTTCCTGTAAGTCATTCCCATATTAGTTATACATTTTTTTACAGTTAGCAATTCAATATCTCAAAACGAAATCTTTAACACCATAAAAGTCTATGCGTCAGTACATAACTGAAAACGGCAACTCCACGGAGTAACATTTCCAACCAAACAAAGCAAATATCAAAACTTTTCATCAAAAATGGTCATTTTCAGTTATAGTTTAAGTCGCTTTTCCTTAATAAAGGTATTTTGTCCCAAGGACATCAGCCGGTAACGTTTGACCTAGATCTGGTTTTATTATTTCTTGCGTGAAAGCCAACCATATTGAATCGAGACAGATCAAATGTAACTCCTTATCACTGCTAAACTTCGAGAGAAAATTGGCAAAAATTCGGAATTCTTGGACGCATATTGTTTACAGTTACAAGAAAGGTTTGGATACAATCAAACATGACAATAATCACATGGTCTAACTTTTTCAATATCGAGAATGTTATATTTTAGGCGATTGAGATGTACCACGTGGCAGTTGATAGGCGTGAACAACAAAAAAAGAAAACAATATAACCATTGACTGATTCCATTTGATTTGTGATACGTTTTTCGAATGAAATAAATAGTATGATGTATTCTCTGCCAGATTTTCTGTAAGTTTTTATCAGAAAGCATTTCAGCTAGCTTTAATTCATAATGTTAATAGAATAAGATATACCACTATCTCTCAATAAATCTTATCTAATTAAATTTATTCTCAAATCGTGAGTTTTTTATTTTCTTCATCATTCTTGGCGCCAGTCTGAAAAAAATTAATTTAATAATTCTACCACGGGTGCAGTGACTAAATGTACTTAGCACTTGAACATAGTTTGGGGTGTATGTATTCTGATCGGAACTAACGTTTAATGACACTTTACAAGTTCAATGACCTAAGTAGTTTATAAAAGTATATTTAATTTAAACACTTTTATTTGTGATCTAATTTGTATTTTGCAATTTAATTTGTTATCGCCAGAGAATGGTAAGAGTGCATAGCATTATTCTAGAATGCTTTTTTTTTATCTCATTCTATTCATCAGATGGAAAAAATCATGCTCAACTTCAAATAATTAAAAGGACATACAAACATACCGCCTATTATTCCATAGTTAGCATGATATTCATAGGATAACATGTGAAAATAAAAACGGTATTTTTGTAATCAGTGGTAAAATATGATATTTTTGACAAATTTTCACTTAACCATAGCATACGATTTTTTAGCCATGACATACGACGTCGTATGCGATGGTTTATGGATTTTTGCTACTTCAGACTCAAAACGAGGCTAAGTGTCAACATCGCGGGATCGTTTGGAAAATTCGAATTAAATGACTTAATTTCCGAAGATTCTGATGATGACTTTAACTATGGAATAAAAAGAACATCCTATGATTTACTCGTGATATGATTTTAATCCACTCATGGTTATTGAAATCTGCACTCTCTCGCTACGCTCGCTCGTGCAGATATCATATCCATTCGTGGATAAAAATAATATCACTCATAAATCATAGGATATCCTCTATTTATTTAAAACCCTTGAAAGTAATAAATATGACTCTGTGTCATATCAAAAAGATCAGGAAATAATATTGCGGTTCTAAGATGTAGAAAAAACATTAGCCCTGTCTGACTTGAAACTGCTTCATCTGATGGACAAATCTGATGGACAAAATTTACGCAACGCGACAGACTCAACTACAAATTTAATTTTTGCATAGCATTTTCTATGTGAATGTTCCATTTAGGGACTCACATGTACGAGGGATATATTAAATGCATCATTTTAGAAAGCTGCAGGCATGTAAGAAGTTCTATGTGAATGTTCCATTTGAGGACAGGCATGTACAAGGGATACATTAAATGCACCATTTTAGAAAGCTGCAGGCATGTAAGAAGTTCTATGTGAATGTTCCATTTGAGGACAAGCATTTACGAGGGATATATGAAATGCACCATTTTAGAAAGCTGCGGGCATGTAAGAAGTTCTACGTGAATGTTCCATTTGAGAACAGGCGTGTAACGAGGGATACATTAAATGCACCATTTTAGAAAGCTGCGGACATGTAAGAAGTTCTATGTGAATGTTCCATTTGAGGACAAGCATTTACGAAGGATATATGAAATGCACCATTTTAGAAAGCTGCGGGCATGTAAGAAGTTCTACGTGAATGTTCCATTTGAGAACAGGCGTGTAACGAGGGATACATTAAATGCACCATTTTAGAAAGCTGCGGACATGTAAGAAGTTCTATGTGAATGTTCCATTTGAGGACAAGCATTAACGAGGGATATATTAAATGCAACATTTTAGACAGCTGCGGGCATGTAAGAAGTTCTATGTGAATGTCTCATTTGAGGGTAGACATGTGACACGAGGGATATATTAAATGCATCATTTTAGAAAGCTGCGGACATGTAAGAAGTTCTATGTGAATGTTCCATTTGAGGACAAGCATTACCGAGGGATATATTAAATGCAACATTTTAGACAGCTGCGGGCATATAAGAAGTTCTATGTGAATGTTCCATTTGAGGACAAGCATTAACGAGGGATATATTAAATGCAACATTTTAGAAAGCTGCTGGCATGTTAGAAGTTCTACGTGAATGTTCCATTTGAGGACAAGCATTTACGAGGGATATATTAAATGCACCATTTTAGACAGCTGCGGGCATGTAACAAGTTCTATGTGAATGTTCCATTTGAGGACAAGCATTAACGAGGGATATATTAAATGCACCATTTTAGAAAGCTGTGGGCATGTAAGAAGTTCTACGTGAATGTTCCATTTGAGGACAGGCATGTACGAGGGATACATTAAATGCACCATTTTAGAAAGCTGCGGACATGTAAGAAGGTCTATGTGAATGTTCCATTTGAGGACAGGCATGTACGGGGGATACATTAAATGCACCAATTAGACAGCTGCGGGCATGTAAGAAGTTCTATGTGAATGTTCCATTTGAGGACAGGCGTGTACGAGGGATACATTAAATGCACCATTTTAGACAGTTGTGGGCATGTAAGAAGTTCTATGTGAATGTTCCATTTGAGGACAAGCATTTAAGAGGGATACATTAAATGCACCATTTTAGAAAGCTGCGGACATGTAAGAAGGTCTATGTGAATGTTCCATTTGAGGACAGGCATGTACGGGGGATACATTAAATGCACCAATTAGACAGCTGCGGGCATGTAAGAAGTTCTATGTGAATGTTCCATTTGAGGACAAGCATTTAAGAGGGATACATTAAATGCACCATTTTAGACAGCTGCGGGCATGTAAGAAGTTCTATGTGAATGTCTCATTTCAGGGTAGACATGTGACACGAGGGATATATTAAATGCACCATTTTAGACAGCTGCGGACATGTGCATACATATGAAACACCCTGTACTACGGTTCTGTCAGTCTGTGTTTGTTGATAGTGATTTGTGCTTTCGCTGTAGATTTATTTTATGACAGTGAACCTTAACAGGTTTCATTTTATTTAGGTAAAATATACCTTCATTATTATTGTGGATATTTTATTACCCTGTAAACTATGTTATTATTTTGCTATTCAAGCGACTACAATCGCGACTCTTGTTACTCATTTAAAGATCTTATCACAATTGAGGAATATTTATATCAACGTTTATCAGATAAAAGACATTAACAGCCATCGCTTATTAATTGAAAAGATTAGATTAAGCATCATCGGTAACAAAGGTGATAATGATTGGCCTATTAAATCTTTCATCAGATGATAGGTTCTTTAACCGACTCAAAGGATAATCAGAGTAAATTTGATATCACGCAAGTTGATACTCAGTTTTGGAACGTTTAATCTTCGCTTTTGAACATCATTTTTTCATAGATTTACTGACGTCATTAATATGGACAAACAAAAAATGAACGATCGAGTAGCCAACAAATGAATGTCAATAGAATGGAAATTTGTATGCACGGTGCCAAAGCAAAACGACTACGAATGGGAGCAAAAAAATAAACATTTGCAAGGAGAATCATCAATAAGGAAGACAAGTAATTTAAGTATTCTAAACTATGATCTAAGGTGAAAATAAACAATACCCCCCCCCCCCCCCAATATACATCCCAAATTGTAAACCCACGACCAATGAGTTTTATCATTAAAATATTATCTTATAATAGTATTTTCTTAGTTCAAAATCTAAATATTACAACGCGACTTATTTTGTTCATAATGCTGCATAGAAGTATGATAGCGAGTAAAACTACGCCCAGCTGCTGATATCCACGCTGATGCTTCTCTTGCTGAAATAATAAATGTCGGGTTTAATTCAGCTGATGTCATTCATTAGAGTTATTAGTCCTAAGATGTGATAGATGGAGATTTTCAAAAGATCAAGACGTCTACAATAAAAAGGTCATATACACTCTTGAGATATTAGAAAACATGCTGCATGCTACTACCTTACAGTAACAATGTCAATGTCCTATACCTCTCGAAATAAATTTCGAAAATAGTTCTTTATGACTATGTTTATGATTCCTGATATACACAATGGCTGCGAAATAGACGTGATGTGTTATTGAAAAAATGTGAAGTCAGTAAATATATTAAAAGACTTTAAAAGCATTATTAATATTATTCAAAATGAAAAAGAGATTCCAAATATTCCTGAAAAATTGAGAAATGAATGTCAGGTAGACATGAAGTTGGCTTTTAAAACAGTTAAAAGTTCAAAAGAGCCTAGGCTAAGTTCACCTTTTATAAGATACTCTATAAAATACATCCAAAAAACTACTTTATAAAATGAAAAAGATAGAATCAAACAACAGTGAAAATGCAATATAAAAGACACATTTAAACACTTTTTTGTGGATTGTACATATATAAAGCAAGTTTGGGTGATGGTGGAAACATACTGTCTTAAAAAATTAAACAAAAAAATTAAACTTAGTACATCAAAAAATATGTTAGGTACTAGAGACCAAGAAGTAAATGTTGTAATAAGTATTGCACACAATGTAATTAGTAAATTTAAGAAAGGGAACCATCGAAATTTAGAATTTTTATTTGATTATGAACTGATGATAAGGAAAATGTAATATCGTTTTTGCTGTTGCTAATTCTGGTTATGTTATTTATAACTGGTATTTTAAGGAAAAAAGTCAGTATATCCCTTCAAAAGGATCATGAATAATATATTAAGAAATTACAAGCAACAAATTTGCATCGAATACAACAATGAATTATTTCAACAGATAATTATTTCTTTTCAAAACTGTAGAATTCAGAATTTAAAAATGGATTAATTACGTGCTTTGACCAAGATGTTGACAATAACATAGGAGGCAAAGTTGGTGATACTTTTTGCACCACCAAGTGTCAAAAATATCCATCCCCTATGTCACGTTGACCTCGATTTTTCATATCTTGACCTAATATTTCAAAGAATGCAATACTTTTCTGAAAGTTCATTGAAGTTCAATCCCAACATCCAACATCATTGGAATTAGACAAATAATAAAGAATCGCAGGGGGAGAGTGCTGCAAATGCCCCCCCCCCCCTTGCTTTTGTGTAACATTAGACATCACTCGAGAAAATACTTGTCATACCC